CGGCGACACTGACAGTGTGAGGCTGATGTGTCACTCTGTGAACATTTGTACATTCCTTTTGACCGTGGATAGCGCTATGCTATTCCCAACTAAAAAAGGTATCTGAGCTGTGAGCATCGAATCTGCAGCTGCTGATGCTGACTGGGTTAAACTCCTGTTAAACGGGGTCGATCATTGCTCTGCTCGCTAACAAACCACCCTGCAGATATCAGAGATAATAGCTGAAGGGTTTGTGAACCCAATGCTCCCAATTCACTCCTTCGTGACATTTCACGCCACCTGCGTACGTTCACCGCTGACCGTGAAGGTCGGGTAATTGTGACAGCACTAGGTGGTGACCCATAGTCTGATCTAGTCTGACCCATAGTCTGACATAGTCTGACCCGTAGTCTAACAGACCCCGATCGGTCTCCCCCACTGCCGCTATCACAAATTGGCACCATTACCCCTGGACGTGACTAGGGCGCGCGGCGACACCCCGTCACTCTGTCCCGGCCTCAGGCCTCTCTCTCCGGTTCAGCTGCGGGTAAAAAACAGCCCGATTTGACGGTAATTGTCCGGCACGCGGTGCGCGCGGGTCCGGGGCAGAACGGTAGACAGGCTGAGTGGGAACTGATAACAGCGGCGGAGAGACGGACCGTGCACAGTGCAGACGCATTCCGACAGCGGTCACCGAACTGATGCGGGCTCTGAGACACTTCACTGAGGCTGAGACACGGCGGTTAGATGTTAGTGAGGCAGGGTATTGAGACATGACGGTCAGCGAGACACGACGGTGTCGGAGGAAGGTCACAGACACGGCGGTGAGGCAGGTCACTGAGACTTGGTCAGCGAGACACTGAGCTGAGACGAGAAGTTAGAAGCTCCAAAGAAAAACTAATTAGAAATACCTGGTCGAGTCAGGGTCAGTGTCAGCGTTCACACTGCATAGCGCAGTGCACGGAGCGGATCCGTACTCACCACCTGTGAGACCCGTGCACCAGAGGCGGCCGGTGCCGGCGGCGGCGCCTCATCACCTCGCTGCTACTGTAACCCGCCGTGCTCATATCGGAGCCTCCCAGCGGCGCGCGGACCGACTCCGGTCCCAGACGGCTGCCCGAGAGCAGAGCCACGCAGTTCCCCAGCTGACCACACCCCATCACTGCTGTTCACCCGCAGTGACACGACGGCGGCGGACCCAGGACTGACCAGTCCCCCGACAGGGCGACCCTTCGTTACGTCACCGCCCTGTGGTCGGATGACGTTTCCCCCAGCTTTCGCCGTCAGGTGCGAACCGGCTCCGATCGGGGCACGTCGAAAACCGGCCCAAAACACCCACCCTGAACACCCTCCGGGCGCGAGGCAAACGCTAGTTTTCACGACTTTCGCTTTTAGAATTTGATTCGGGAACAGATATAATTAGCCCCGCCCACTACATCCTGAGACGAATTTAGACAAGCACTGTTACATCATTTTGATACGTGCCGTCATCAGGCTTACCATATGCTTCATGTTTGTGGAATTACATAACTAAGAGAAAAGAAGTGACGTAACTTGGTCTAAACTTGGTCCTACGCATAGCTACACTTGGTTCTCAAGTCTCAACAGTGTCCTAATTGATAATGTAAGGGAAAAAAGTTTATGTCGCAGTGTTCTGTTCACCAGCAACAGCACGCGATTTAGGGTATTATACCCTTTCCAAACAAAAACACTCAGTGTCAGTTGATAGCACGTGCCGACGGCGCGTGTGCCTGGACTGGGTAATCGGTAGTCATCAGATTCACAGTCGGACCGTGATTTCCTGCATATGTCCCGCACAAAAAGTCGCACCCGACAGACTCGGGCGGCTGCAGTCGACATATCGGAACAGGAGCGACAAAAACGAGTCAGTGGTGTACGGTCACCTCGGGGCCGCCACTCCGGTTGGTGTCAACCCGTCCTAAACTGTCGAAGCTGGCGGCCGACGCATTGGAAATCGATAGTGCACACTCCACTGTTTTTGTATCGGTTTCTCGGTTTGCCCAGTCGACCGTATCGGTAAGCAAGAGTTGTCAAAAGACGGTTAGTCGCATCCCTATCCGTAAACGGTAGATATGAGAAGTTTGTATAGTGACTTTCCTAGAATGGTTTGTTCATTTATTCAGCTATTGTAAAAGGGCGTTTAGCCGGATGATCGGATAAAACTAGACGTGCGGACGGATTTCATACCTACCTCTCTGTGGCATCGCCAAGATTCATACAGAGATGCTCCTTCTTGGAGAGCGGGTGTCCTGACCGGGACAGACTGTACTGTCCTGTCTGGGACAGACTGTCACTGTACTGTCCTGACCGGTCGGCCGGTTCCGCCATCCTGCCTTGGAGTCCTCGACTTCTGAGTTCTAACACTTGACAGATAGCTGACAGTCGTTACGTCACAAGAGCTGACAGTGGCTGATGGCCGGCACTCTGCACAAGCTGACAGCACCGGGTGTCACCCCGCCATCCCTGAGTCACTGTGTGCACCCCGCTGGGCGTACCCCTGTCACCAGCACCCCGCAGCCACCACTTCCACTGAGTCACTTCCGTCGGGACCGACTGGCGCACACTACCCACTGCCGTCCGCAAAAGCCCCCAAACGGCGCCGCTCACCACTCTCCCACCCATGTCCCATCTGTTCCGAAAGGAAAGTGACAGTGCCGCTCCAGACCCCTCCCCCTCCCAAGTCGCCTGGTTACGCGAGGACCGGGGGGCGCAGTGTCACGGATGAAGGGGGACCGTCACGCTCGGAGGGTCACGGAGTTATGTCTGCGGAGGTGATGTAACGACACCCTTCGTCTGGGGACGAGCTGGCCGCCCTTCCGGTCGGGGGGCGCACTCACTCTCACTCGCCGGGTGCAGGATTTTCGGTCAGGTGGTCCTCCATCCGGGGAGAGCCGTCAGACCAATGTCAATCCGGATTTTGGCAATGATTTAACACGGTGATGATGCTTTGTGGTGAATAGGGGGAGCGCGGATATTTAGCACTCGGTTAACGTCTTCAGGCTACCGGTATTTTATTTTCAAGCGTAATCAACTTGTTTTGTCACTGCGTTATGAATGTTTTCTTCTCTTTGAAAGAGGTGTAGATATGATTATCAAGTCTCCTTTGTTGTTTTCGGGTCTGCATGACCTCGGTGTGGCATTCACCAAGAGTCCTTGCACAATGCACATAACTGCCCGTAACATGGCAAACGCCAGTCATGTTGAGCATTAGGTAACCCGCGCCAGTACCACGTGTCACACACTGTGTCACTAAAGCCTTCTCGTGGCTCAAGCGACAATAGTTTGTCGGTGGGCTTCCCAACAGCTCAGCGTCATGCCCGTCGGCTGTCTCCTCCCGAGCAACGCTGCAGCTCCTCCCGAGAGGCACAGGTGGCGCCACCAACACACCACAACACAACATCACATACGGGCGGCGACGGCGCCGTTCCGGTGCGGGTTCAAGCTTCAGCAGAGCTGTGCTTTGGTGGTGTATGTAACTGTCCACGCGGATACTTCAGTAAACCGCAAACATAGTCTTCGAGAGCAGCTGAGGCAACAGTTGCTACACTTACGTCTCGGTTGGCGACAAAGATGTGGTGCCAACAGATGGTAGAACCAACAGATCCTTTACATAGGTATGTATAGTATGTACATATTTCTCAGATCCCCTCATCTTAACCCTAGAACGCCTAGGGGGGGGGGGGGGTTGTATCAACCCCCCCTGAGGTTTTTTCGAAGTGCACGCTAAACGGCTTGTCGTAGCGGGCTGAAATTTTCAATATCCTCTGGGGCAACCTTTGCGCATCTTTTGCCGAAAAAAATTGATCGGGTCTTGTCAGGTCACGGAGTTATGACGTCATAAGAGGTACAGCTTCCGGCCGGATTTTCACAAACTGAGTGCCAACGCCCAAGGTTTCCTGCCGGTGGTACGGACATCGGTTGATGGATCGTGATGAAACTTCCCATGCATGTTGGGGCAAGTATTGGCTATCATATGGTATAAGAAATTTGACCGGGTCAGGTCAGGTCACGGAGCTATGACGTCACAAGAGGAACAGCGTCCGGTACTATTTTTGAAAAGCGCCCGAACCACTATTTTGCTAATTCTTGTCACCTCAATGGGAATATGCAGCAATATTAGCTTCTGTAGGGAGCAAATAGACCTCCCAAATCCAAAAATACAATCAGATTTCAAAAATTTAAATTTTGATTTTTCGAATTTCTGCCGCCGACTGTGACCTTGCCGACTTCCGGCGCTCCCAACGCGCCATTTTTAGAGCTAGGGAAACGAAATACATACCAAACGATAGAAAATTGATCAAGGAACACGATAGTGAAGGTTTCAAATCGATATCTCCCACCGTTTTGCCGCAATCGCCGCCGAAAGTTGTAAAAGTCTATTTTTCCGAAAATTTGACCTTTGACCGGTCAAAAGTAGGTCAAATGTTGACCTAGGACCAAAAAATATACCACCAATCGCGAGATCTCGTTGAGAGAAATCCGTTGGTTTTTTCCGCTAAGCTCTACGACCTTCCGTTTCGAAACGCCAGGGGGGTCGTAACAACCCCCCCCCCCCCTGGTCGTTCGTGTTATGAGAAATGGCCTGGTCGTGCGAGGGTTAACAACACTTCAACGCTACCTCTCCGCAAAATGCAGATACAAACCTGAATCATGCTGTGTTACGAAGGCAGCTCGGCTCAGCCCGCCACGAGAGGTTCAGCCTGCAAATGTGTAGATCGTTCGTAAAGGCCAGGAGCCGATCATGAACCATGCATCCCCCTGACGCAGGCCAGACCGGGCCTCTGCTCACTGGCGCAGGCCGACTGGGGAGGATGCTCCCCTGACCGTCACGCCCGGCGCCGCGCCGCGCGTCCGTGACGCGTCCCGTGACGCCCACCGTGCCTCTGCCCGTGACGCCCACCGCTGGGCGCGCGTTCGACTCAATTGGAGGGAGTCGTTTCCGCTGTGCGCCGCTGAGCAGGAATTCCACCTGCCGAGCACCGAGGGTGAGCATTTGAGCAATGAGCGGCGAGGGTGAGTCAGGAGCCATGACACCCCAAAGGACTCACACAGGACAGCTGGATACACCCAGACACCGTCTTTATTACCGGGAGAGAAAGGGGATATCCTTCGGTACCGTAATAAAAAACAACCGATACATCTGTGCTGCTTTCAGTCGCTGTCGAGTTTCCAATCGCATAATTTCGTCATGCCCATAATAAGCAGTCCGCAAACCACTGACCGCTATAATTTCAATCACATGATTTGCGGCTCGGGATATGAACTAACTTTTCGAGAGCCGGTTTTGCAAGTACGAATGATATAAATCACTATCTCGTCATGGTCCATTACCACTCATGACACAGGTGGTGTAAGCACCAATGCAGATTGGTGGTTACTCCAGCAGTCTTCCTGTTTCTCTATTGAGCCTTACAGCTCTACATCCGACCCTTCACCATGCACCGACCTCATCTCACCGCCGGAGGCTACTAACGGCGACCCGTAATAACAGTACCACACACAGCTCCAGCCACCTGCGCCAGGCCGCGGTCACCGACAGTCCATGCTCTCGTGACTCCGGCCCACCACCACTACATTCGGGACGAAATAAAACATTCCAGCGGACCTGCGGGTGGTCGTGAGGCCTGACCCGTGCCTTGTCCAACAGCCGGTACAGACTCGCTGGGCAGCGAGCGTGACCCGCACCGGGCCCGGGGCGGCCGGCGCACACAGCCGCTATCTGGGTTCAGAAGTGGCCAATACCCTAATTTTCGACAAATTTTAAAGTGTGATTTTCTCACATTTTCTGGTCGTAAATTGATCAGACTGTATAAAATATCATCCAGAAAAAATGTTACTCATTCTGGCACATATTGGTGGGCTCCCAAAGTACACCGTTTTGTTTTGCTCCGTGAGGCCGAACTTGTGCTGCGATTTTCATGTAAATGTTGACGAGTCTCCTGTCATATTCTTTGCTTGAACATGCGTAAGTAAGATATCAGCTGAGAGGGGAAAATGTGCGGAATCCATTGGTAACAAAAGTGCATCTAAAAAACTTCCCACTCAGTTATTGTAAGCTAATTGTTGCACACTTGCACAAAGCAGAAGGGCTTGAGGATTTCAATATTTACATAGGCCTACCAAAAAACGCACAGCGTGCTTCACATCGAGACAACGTCCATAACATATACCGTACAATTGTTATTCATTTGCTGAAAAAAATTAGGTCGGCATCACACTGCCGGCAAAAGTTATTGCAGTTTTAGTGACGCTAGGTCGCCGCCCGGCCGACCCCGGTCAGGTCGGCCGGGCGGCGGCCGTGCAGCTGACGTCCGTGCGGTTCGGCAGCTGACCAATCAGCTGCGAGAGAGGAGCACGGTCCGTCTAATCGCTCCCGGCAGTTGCTTGTGCTGAGGGGTGCTCGACGCTCGTGTCGATTGCATTTGTTGGTTGTCGATTGTCGATTGACTTGTGGGCATACTTTCTGGTGACCAATAAATGTACGTCGTCTTAACTGAATGTAGTCTGATCAAATTCAATAAAGCAAAAAGACATCCAGCCAACAGAACATCGTAAGAATGTCCGATATGGTTGATAACATTAAGAGTTTTGGGGAGCAGCCATCGACCAGAATGAACCTTATTGGCTTTTGTATGTAACATTTGCATTGCTTTGGGAAAGTTTCAGCCAGATATCTTCAGAAATGGCAATGTTATCGGCTTTTGCATTTTACCGTAGTCGGTTAATCACAATTTTCGATATTGCAAAGGCAATTTCAGTACGTTCTTGACATCAAAAACCAAAACGAATAGCATCATCGTGTTCCAGAGCTCAAATTGCATCCGATGCACATCTTTTTTGTTGAGAATGTTCAACTTCAAAATTTGGCCTTTCTGACCTCGCCGTGACCTGACCTTCATTTGTCGAATGGAAATAGTTTCGAATCGGACGACCCAGATGACATCATTTTTAGATGCTTTTGCCGAAATGGACCATTAAAGATGTGTCGCATGACCTTAAAAATGTTTACATTTCCTTCCATGACCTTTTCCATGACCTTGTGTGACCCATGACCTTTCCATGACCTTTTGTGACAAAGTTAGGTTTCGTTTGTCACCTATTCCTATCAAAGCCGTTTGAACTTTTAGTAGTGAACGAGTAGTTTCGAAGACAGCAGGGAAGCTATGCAGAATCCCCTCCCGAGTCACCCACGTTATGGGATATACCCGTCATCCGCGGATTACAAGCAAAAATATTTTTTACGGCAAGGATGTATGAGTATGGATGCTCATAAGTTCCCATATGTGACCTTACGGTTGACTTCACATACAATAAAAATTGCTTGGCAAAATGTCAACTGGTTAACGAGTTATCGCATTTTGGCCACTTCCGAACTCAAATAGCGGCTGTGTGCGGCGGTCGTGAGGCCGCTATCCCGTGACCGTGCGGCGGAGTCGGTCCCGTGAGGTACCGGACTGCGGTGGAGTCGGGACCGCTGTGCCCGTGCCCGTGGCCGTCACGGGACTGGTGCGGCTGTGGAGCACCATCAGCGGACCTGTGGGGATCTCTGGTGACCCGTAGGACCTGCGGTGGTCTGCGCGGAGCCATACGGTGCAGTGTGGTGACCTACAGTGTTTTGTAGGGATCAATGTGGTTATATGAGCCGTTTTGTGTATGAAACAGAATGTTTGGTTTAGTTCTTGCACATGGCCATTGACACAGCTAACGGATCCCATAAGCCAAAATTAATAATATGAAAATAAATGAATAAATACATAGATAAATAAAACGAATCATCAAAACATAAAGCTTGAAATACGTGGCTAGAAAATACTGACGAAATAAAAAGTTTGGGAAAACATTAATCGTTGAGTAACATTGAAATCATGCGCCCTTAAAATATGCATATTTTCACCGTGACTTTCTTCCCATCCCTCACGCCTGGTAAGCAGCTCAACAACAATGTGTCGTAGGTACTCGGGAGCGGTGCGTGTCCTAGGCTCATTTCTGCGGGTGTAACCGCCTCCGTCACCGCTACCGACCGCCTCTGCCGTACAGAGCATGACGTGATTCAATTCGGCGGGCCAATACACCGCTAATTTCCGACAACACGAGCCGCCCACGGCACTGGGGCAGGCTGGCGCGGCACGCACTGAGGGCTCGACACTGTTCTGTTCGGGCTGCTCGGGTTAACGCTAGTAGACGGCTCAACACGGTAAGATAGAGCCGTCATAGGCAGCTGGCCTGGTCGACAGATCATCAGCTCTGGCAATGCTATCCTGTCGCGCATATCGCGGCGTCGCGATTCATGGCACGCCATAGATCAGTCGATTTGTACGTCTGTGTTTCCAACTGCCGTCAACCGATGCCAGGCTGCTGACCGCCCGAACAAGCTTTCACGTATGCAACATATGCGGAATGCACGATTGCAAACTGCCGCATGCATTAGGTGTAGGTATTTGCACTGTGCGGTGCGGTTTCATGGATTGAGACATTTGGTCCAGCCGATAACTATACTATAGTAAATCCGATTATTGTGGGCTCAGACCGCAGGATCCACCATATTGTATGCCTATGGGTCTTTATCATTTCGTTTTCTTATTGAACTGGTCTGTGTGCGCAATGTGCGGTTGCTGAATGCTGATGGGACTGCTGGCTCTCAAGCAAACTTTACAGTAGGCATACTCGTACTCTGCAGTTTGGTTTTATGATGGCTCTACATTTAAGGTCGTTAGAAAATGATCCTTAAAATGAGAACGGAAGAAGAAGTAGCTTCAATAGTGGTTAGAATATTGGCACGGAAGCGAGACAAATTTGAAATAAATCTATATTACTATTTGAGGAGGGTGCGTCTGTCCGTTACCGAGGTCCCGACTTGGTGGTGCTTTGCGTGGACTACAGGCCAGACCGTTGCACCTAGCCCGGTGAAATTTGCACAACTTATAGATCAAGGATGCGCGACGTGCCTTTGAGGGGTCTCAGCTCGATCGGGTCGTTAGTGAGCGCGTGGCGCGTGCCCAAAAAGTGCAAATTCGCGTCATAGACTTTACATGTATAAATCGGCGTGCGAAATCGGGCGAAAACGGCTAATTTTGGCCGACACGGGTCCAGTCCCCGTGCAATATCTTGGTGACCAGGGATCCGACCGGCACGGGGAAAACAGCATCGTGTACAGAATTGAACGGGCTATTGAATGGTGTGCAATGCAGAGGATAGCACGCGCCACGTGCGCCGGAGAGGGCACTTTTATTTGAAAAATTGCTGTTTTTGACGGATTTTGAGATTACATTTATTTTTAGGTGACCGTCAGACGGAACGAATTGAAACAACGCCTATTGGCAAGAGAAATGTACCGCCTCTCATGAAAAATTGTGAAAAGCTGATTGATCCAAATCATGGTGGTACAAATCACGGGAGTAAATGGTGTTTGTCAATTTTGTGCCACTTTATTAATCACACGGGTTTTGCTCCATGACCTGATATCTCTGGCAATTAAAAATGGCACCGTTGGAAAGAGCATTCAATTCTGTCCAATATTCACTCTTCATTTTTGCATGACGGGCAACAGTATTCTTAAAAATGTAAATGTTCCAAACCATTACATTGCCATTTTTAGCGAAATTCATCGATGGCCCTCAAAAGACTTCACGTCAGTTTTCCAATCATTCTATAGAAGAACGCATGATAATACGACACGGGCACCTCGATGCGATGGATCTTTTTTGTTTCACTACAAAATGTTTTGCCGTCAAAAAGCAATCGAACGAAATGGATACCAACCAAATCGACACAGACTAACCCAATACCCACGGATCAAAAATAACCCTTCTTCGCGTTGCGGAGCACGCGGGTAACCCTAGTTAATATACTATTTGAGTAGGATTGCGGGTTTTTTGAAGCGGTCAGTTTTTCCAGCGAGCTTTTTCTCTTGGGGCTTGCGAGATGGGCTCGGACAAACGCATTCACTTAACATTAGCAGAAAGACACAGGAATGCGGCTGAATTCTCGCGCAGTAATGAGCGAGGGTACCCCCA